CACATACATAGTAATAGAGCATTTTGAATGGAGAGAGGAAAATAAGAGATGAACGGTTATTTGACTTAGGGGAGGTTGAATGACTTGGGTTGTCACGTATTTATATTTCCCACGAAGAGAAGAAAGAGATCAAACGAAACTTTTGGCGTATTCCGTTCTTTTTTCGTTTCGATAGATAAAAAGTTGGGATATGTGATAGGAGTGAATTCTCAGATGTTTTCCTCCTCGATTGAAGATCAAAAGTCATCAGCAGTAAGAACTGAGGTATGATTGTCAACGGTAGCGTCGTGTTTTCAGATCCACATGCAGGGAGATCACGTCAGCAGTCCAGTTGGTACTGCATTGGGGAAGCTCTGCTTACAAGTGTGGATGCACACAACGAAGATCACCCGGATCAGAAGGTTTCCAGGCCTGCGTACAAGGGAGTCCAATTATCCCGGAAGATCATCCGCTCAGCAAGGTCTTGGATTGCGTCAACAGATATATGTAAATATGTCGGAGTCAAAAGCATGCAGGAGATTTCCACCCAGAATCCGTCCGAACTTCACAAGGCACTGCAGCCGATTTTTCAAGGGATGAGCAAGGAGTTTCGCATTCTGGAGAATTGTGAAGGAAACTGGGCTGCACGTGAAGCCGTTAGACAGTCACTTTTGAACGATAAAGCAGGAAAGACTAAACGGAAATCTGGTCCTTCGGGCAGCAGAAACAGCCGAATGAATCACGCCTGGCCAGGAAAAGCAAATCGTAAACGTGGATCGAACGTTAGGAATCCTAGAGAGACAGTACCTCCGAAGTTACCGAAGCTTAGCCGGGCAGAGATACTGAAGAGAGACAAATATGGGCATGTCAAACATAAGAAAGGAAAGGTGAATAGCTTGGTGGAATTCAGAACATGCGAAAGGACAAGAAAGTCCAGGAAGACAATCAGTTCAGTTTTTGATTCTGAAATGGAACGTGAAGGCGGTAGACGGGATCTTGAAAGCGCGGCAGAGTGCAATGCTGAGGAGAACGAACCCAGTGCGCTCGTAGCACACGAAACTGAGAGTGGGAAGAGATGTGCAGAATATGGACTGGAGCAGGAAAACAACGCGAAAGACTACGGTACCATATTCGAGGACACATGCTCATCAGGCGAAGATGTTGGTAGTGCTGAGGAAGAACTAATCGAAGAATAAATGGATGATTTCCTTGCGGATCGCATTACAGAGAGCCTCAAGCGATCGTCTAGAAACGCTGCCTGTGACAGTCCAACACAACAATATAGATCAGTAAGCGGAGCTGAGCAGATCAAATCTCAACGCAAATCGATGGAAGACCGTTCTTTGGAAGAGGATTCTTTCAATTCTGAGGATGAGAAATTTGCTCAGCGGGTTCTTGAAGCTAGGAGTCGCAAAGAAAGCAACTCAAAACGTAAGGGAAGCATCACAGGGAGACTTCACAGCAGCCGTGCTAAATCAGCAATGAACGTTGGCAAAGCCGGTAAGGGAAATACGTTTAAACGCGGTTTGCAGTCAAGTGATAAGCGTGACGGAACACGTTAACATGCAGCAAATCTGAGAACAAGACCGTCCCATTTTATGAGGCGGCTGAGATTAGCATCAGGACAAATCATCAAGAACGGGTTGCAAACTCCTTCAGATTTGCTTAGGTGGCACTCATTTGCACACGCATACGATAGCGACATGGGACCGAAAAGTTGGCGAGAAGTGAATGGGGTGGAAAAGCCTTTCATTTGCGCTCGGCCGTGGGTGTTCGAAAGGGACGGACAGTGCGAAATGCTCTGAGAAGAGAGGCCATAGCGACGACAAGTGCTTTTAGAACTCAGAAACCCTGAAAATAGGCTGAATCTACAGCTAATAAAATCAGGTATTGTCGGAAGAGGTGACACTTGACGGAAGACTGTTTCTTCAATGAACGCGGTGATAAATTTGGACCAAAAAGTGCTTGAGCCATGAAAGTGAAGAAACCGCCTCAGCTCGGCTTTAAAGCCGGAGCTAGATATTAAAAATAGTACGGTAGTTTCAGCAAGATTAAAATGGGGACCGGCTCGGTCAGAAATGCCGCAACTTTCATGCTATCTTGCTCTCATGGAGCAGAGAATTTGTCGAGATTGCGTTACACTCTCGCCCACTTTGCAAGCTCCGAAGCAGGGTTAAGTAGAGTATTGGTAGGAAGCTCGTGAATGACAGCATTAGAGTCAACGGCGATGTTTCCATACCCTCGTGAGAAGAAGCACACTCCCACTTGTCGATTATCGCGTTAGAGGGAGAGAAGGGCAAAGGTTCGAGCTTGCAATTCATCGCATTTGCCAGAAAGTACTTGCATATGCACTTAGCATTGAGTGGAATAGAATACGTCACGACCATTGGGCTGATCTTGAGCATCTCCAGCGTCCATTTTCTCATTTTGTGTCGTCTGAAAACTCCAGTTTCAGTTGGCAAGGGCACCAATATATGCGGTACATCGCAACACTTTCCGCATGGACGCACTGAAAATAATGCGCTTAAATATCGTCTAAGAGAAAACGGGACGGACACGGGCTTGGGGATTTGTGGGTTTACAACGGTTCCAAATCTTAGAAGCTTTTCGGTGAATTGCTTTCTGCACGTAATGATGTTCAGGTATAGCGCTTGATATACGCTCCATAGCGTAATATAACGACGGCCACAGGACAAGAAACGGGCTTGTTCTGTTCCAAGCTCAGACGATGTATTATGACAACCTGGCTTCAACTGCAATCATCATCGACGCAATTTCGACTTAGTTTCTGCGTGGCACGGCTGTTTTCTTGCTTTCAGGACGAGGATGAGACTCATGCGAAGCAATGGGTTTGGAATAACTAGGGCTTGTCCAGAATCGAGCAGGAGATCCTTGTTGTCGAGTTGCAACTGGTGCATGCCACTGCTCGCCCGAAGATCGAGATGGTCGACAAATTTGGGACATGTGCTTCCCATGGATCGCATAACCTCATGACGCGGTGAAAAGTTGTCACTTCAAAAGCCCAGAACATATGTCAGCCGAACCACGACGGCATTTACGGCCGATGGCCCTCAACGCAAGTCCACACACACCCTGCGTAGCACCCTGCGACAAGCGCACCGGCGAAGGGGACGAGAAACCTAACCACGTCCGGCATCCAATCGACGCGATCCCACTTGATCCTGGGGCGAGATCTTCGGCGACGCGATCCCAGTCGACGACGAGCCATCGGCGGCGAAGGTAACGAGCAGGGGTACCAAGAGTTTGCTGTAACAACTCACGGAGTAATGGCACCTCCAAGCGGTTCGCGGTCTGGAACGGGGGTGGAAAAGCGTTCCACGCGTGCCCTTGGGGGGGTGGTGGCTGCGCGTGGGAGAAACTCGGCGCGCGGCGTGCGAGCGCGCACGGGCGCGGTGCAATACGCACCTGAAAAGGGGGTGAAAAGAAAGGAAAATATTTGGATATGAAAAGTAGTCCGGGTTGGGGGACACACGTGTGAATAATTGCACAGTTTTAATTTTTAATTATTTTTTTAGTTAATTAGTTTGCATTAATTTTGCTGACATTAGATTAGATCTAGGATCTAGTGCCACGAGCTACTGTAGTGGCTCTGGCGGGGCGATATATATCTTAGCCCTCTGACGACGAAGTCAGTAAAGGTAACCCGAGTTGCCGGAGTTGAATGTCGCCTTGGTCGAAGTCCGTCTCCACCAAGACGCTCCCTTTTACCTAAGCCTACGGCATCCTTCAGCGCTCGGGGGTCCCCTTTTTCCTCATCAATTTTCCTTTACTTCCCTATCCTAATTCCTTTAATCTTGAGTTGGTCCCACCTTGTAGGATTGCGATCCGCAACGTGACGTCATTTGCCATCGGGCTTCTGTGTTGGTGCACCAGTGGTGCTTTTCTCAGTGTTGGTTCCATCGGAATATGGTTGCAACCGATCCGTTGCTGGTACTTTGCCATCGGGCAGTACGACGGTGTAGCGCTGCTACGTTTACTTCTTTCCCGACGGGCTACGTTGCGACGTCCCCGTCGAAGACCTTATCAAGGGTATATGGTGTACAAGGCGCTCTTCGAGCATTAGATTTACGACCCATCGGACCAGGTTTACCTAAACAACCCTCCGAACTCGTCGAGCAGTTGCCTTTACAAGTCTCTACCACCATTTACCGATCCCGGGCTGGGCCCTTCTCTTTGCCCCCCGCTATCAGGGATCCGAGCTACTGCGGGCCGCAAACTCGCTTAAAGAGGACAGAGAGCTTCGAACACTCCGTAGAGCTGTGCCGTTGGCAGTTGTTGTTTTTGTTGTTGTCGTTGGTTGGTGTTGGACCGTCGGACCTTGGTCTCTGCCTGACAGGCGCATTGCACTACACGCGGTGCGCGGCCGGTATGGCGGAGCATGCTGCGCGGGGGGGGCGGAAAGAGAGGATCGTCGCGCGGACACAGCACTACGTCAGCCTTGTCATAAAGCGCGGCGGCGGCGGCGCGGTTACAGTCGGCGCGCGCGCGCGGAGGGGATGCATCGCGCCAATGCCGATTGCGGCTGATTGCGTCCCGCGCATCATACCAAAAATTCCCAACCCCCGATCCACCTTTTGGTCCACCACTTGGCATTTTCCCCCATCCTATTCTACTTGAAGCGCAAACCGTCTCCTATCCCCATCTACATACCCTCCCGCTTCCTTGTCCCCACCCTCGGCCCCCGTAGCTTTCCTTTATCTCCACCACCGACCTTTCATCGCATCGATACTCGTCTCGGCGTCTCCCATGATGTCGAAAGACCCCTTCTCGTCCCTTTCGCGCCTCACCATCCCCTCTACGAACAATTCAAACGCGTCTCCAATTTCTACTTCCTTGTCATTGCCGTTATCTCCTTCATTCCTAACATCTCCCCAAGCACCCCATTTGCAAGCGTCCTCCCCCTCTTCGTCGTTGTCGGCTTCGGTTTTGCGAGTGACATCTTCGAGGACATCAAGCGCGCAAACGATGATCGTCGCCAAAACAGCGAGGAGAGGCTTATCATGGCCCGCGTCCCGGAAAGCATCGAGACGAAGAAGCAGCTCTCCTTGGTCACATCAGAGACTGCCCATACGCTGCAAGCCGCCCATCTGGAGCCTGACTTGCATCGCAATGTCGCTTCAAGAGACATTGCCGTTGGTGACATCGTTCTCGTGGGCAAAGGAGAGGTTTTTCCGTGCGACCTCGTCCTCTTGCATTCCGCTTTAGAAGGCGGTATTGCCTATGTGTCTACAGCAAACTTGGACGGTGAGTCCAATCTAAAGCGCGTCATTGTCACCTCAGCTACCGCTGAAATCGAACATCCTTCTCAGCTTCCTCCCGTCAAGGGCAAGATTAGAGCTCAAAGGCCTTCCACTTCTCTGCACGAGTTTGAAGCCTCCATTGAACTGAGCGGCGAGGGCCCTGTCCCGCTCGGCCTGTCGTCGCTGCTGCTCAGAGGAAGTATCTTGAGAAACACCGAGTACATTTATGGTATTGTTGTGTACACTGGATTTGATACTAAAGTTGCACTAAACATGCGCAACCACCCAAGCAAAATGAGTTCTGTTGAGCGCAAACTTAACTGGGTCGTCCTTATGCTGTTAATTGCCCTCGCTACCCTCGTCATCACAGGCGCAATTGTCGCTGGAGTCTTACAAAACAGGGATGGTGCCGGCCAGTGGTACATGGGGGAGAATGCTTTGAATTCTGGTGGCAAAGTCACTTCCCAAAGCCTGGGCACGTTTCTCATTTTGTTTTCTATCTTTATCCCGGTTTCGCTTTTCGTGACCTTCAAATTTATTCGGGTTCTCCAAGCACTATTCATGTCTGCTGATTTCTGGATGAGAACTGGACGGCAGAAGGTCTTGGCAAGAGCGACCAATCTGAATGAAATGCTTCGCGAGGTCCAGCACGTCCTCAGCGACAAAACGGGCACGCTCACAGAGAACATAATGCTTTACATCGCCTGCTCGGCTGGCGGACAGTTGTCTCAAGAAGAAAAGAGCCATGCATCGCGCTGTCAAAGATGGTGTCGAACCTGTGAAGCAACTTTTGCTAGTAATGGCTCTCTGTCACAGCGTCGTGCCAGAACCCAAGGATGAGACGCAGTCTGACAACTCCTCTGGAGACTCTGGCAGAAAGAAGAGTAAGAAACGCACTAATCCGGATCTGGGGGACAAGACGGCTGTGCTAGATGGAAACAGCTCAGAAAAGGCACTTCTAGAATATCAAGGGCAGAGTCCGGATGAGGTTGCATTAGTTACATTGGCAAGAGAATACGCGATCACTCTTATGACGCGAACCATTGACACACTCGTTATTGATCGCTTTGGAACGAAAGAAACTTACACGACTTTGGCGGAACTGGAGTTCAATTCAGACCGCAAGAGAATGAGCATGATTCTCTGGTGTCCTGACGGGAAAATTAAATGTTCACCAACGGTGCTGATACGATCATGCTGAAGTTGCTCAACAAAGACGCGAACATAGAATTGATTCAGAATCATATTGACGAGTTTGCGAAGGAAGTTCTACAAGCACTTGTGTTTGAAATGAAAGAGTTGGAGGAGAAGGACTTCCAAACTTCGTTTGAACGGTTCCAAGAGGCGCAAAATTCTTTGGAGAACAGGGAAGAGAAGAATTCAAAGATTAGCGCTGAACTCGAGGAGGATTTGATGTATGTCGCCACGACTGCTGTAGAGGATAAGTTGCAAGACAAAGTGCCGGAGACTATCAACTTTCCGCGCGAAGCAGGGATTAAACTGTGGGTGTTGACTGATGACAAGAGAGAAACGGCTGAAAACATTGCATATTCAGCGAACTTGCTTGATAGGAACATGGAAGTGGTGCATATTGCAGGTAGCTCATCCGCAGAGGTGCAAAGACAACTTAATGACACTCTCGACCGTCATGTGTTGGATGCGCAAACTCCACAGCGACGGACGAGCTTCAGCGCAATAGCTGTGTTGCCTCGTTGGCTGTCTATTGCGTCAGAAGAAAAAAGTGGAAGAAAAAGAGGTTGGTGTGATCATTGACGGGGCTTCTCTGCACCACGCGATTGAGGATCATTCAGATGTATGCATGGCGTTGTCCGATCATACGAAGGTTGTGATCTGCTGTCGTCTGACGCCGCTACAGAAGGCATTGGTGGTACGATTAATGCGGGAAAAGAGAAAAGCGATGACTTTGGCTATTGGAGATGGTGGAAACGACGTGTCGATGATTCAAGATGCGCTGCCATAGCTCAACTCCCTCCTCTGGCAGTCCTACTCGTGTTTTTGTATGTTCTCCACCATCAATCTCTTCATCTTGGCAGTCGTCCCCACAGCCACTTTTCACTTTCTGACCCGCTTTGCCCCCTCATCCAGGTCTTCTTGTTTTGCAAAGTGTCTATTCGAATGCCTATTACCACGCCTTCTCGCACAGGTTGCACCGGTTTCTCGTCTGAACATTCTATGTTTCCCACTCGGCTCACTTCTATCATCTCTACCTTCTCTCCTTTTTTCCCCACACGTTCGCCTTCTCCTCATCCACCAAGCCTCTGCTCCACTTTTCCTCCTCGGCCGCTGGCCTCACTTTGTGGGTTTCCTCATCTCTTTCCTTTCGGCCCAATGATGCCTCCACCATCATAGCCTACACTTTGCTCACATATCTCGCACTGACTTTTCTAGTCTTTCCGATTCTTCTCGACCTCTTTCCAATGTATGAAACCGCTAATGTCCCTCACGTGCAGCTCACTATCCCGGTCATCACATGTCTTGCCTCCCTACAGGCATTCTGCCTGTGTCATCTCCCAAACATAGACCAGTCCACACGTTCCATCATGTATGTCGAAATAATCGCCTATCTCCCTTTCCTCGCCCATCTTCCTGCATTTGTCCTGGGCATTGCGACCTGTCTCTGCAAATGTGCAAAAATTTGCAGATCTAACGCTATCCCTTACCCAACTTTTGATCGCACTTCGGCCTTTCTTGTCTCGGTCTTTACGGCCCATTATTGTTCGAGCAGAGCCCGGTCACGCTGAAGGAATCCATTAAGCAGCGGGTGCAGAGGCTCGTGGGCGGGCTGCGCGTGGTGAGTAGCAATCTGATCCCGTGACGGGCGAGCGTCGTGATGCGGGAGTTGACGACGCTGTGGCCTGCCATGCCGTTGACTTACGCCGCGCTGCATAAAGGCACTAATCAATGCTGCGTTCCGCTGAATCCCTCGCTATGCATAGACCTCTTATTTACCACTTTACTGCCAGTTAGCAAACATGCCTGCCTTGACAGGACCATTCCTTACCATCTTCTCGTCCAGTGCACCACCAATGCACCGCCACTCACGAAGTGAAATGTGAGAAAACGACAGAGTAGATATAGATAAATGGCAGATTACTGGCACAGTCAAGTTCGTGAAATACACCTTCTGTCAGCCACCCTTCAGCCTACGCTTACAGTTCTGAATCTGTGGTCGCTTAATGGCAGGGTAGCTCAACCGCCACCTGTCGACCATTCACCTCCTAATTATTTGCATAACAATCCGTCACTCCTCGCCCATCCATCAGCCAAAATTCTCCTAGGGCAAGTGAGGCAACCTCAACTGCGACTTTGATGTCACCGTGACTCGCTTCAAGCGAGACTAATTTTCAACAACACATCCGTACTCCAATGCCTCATTTGAAATTCATTTTTGGGTGCTACGCACAATATTGATCCAGCTGGATAGAGAGAATGAGGTCCAACGTATGTGTCTTAAAAGGAAAGATGGGTTGAGGGGCGAAATGATTGATCCACTACAACGGATGGTTACCGCTATTGGTATGCTTGCGAATGTCACTCGGCCGCGTCGGAGTTTACGCCTGGTTGCTGTTGACATGTCGCCGCCACTTGCAAGCTTTTCAGGTTGAGACAACTGGGCCTACGAGCAAGACGAGCCTTTGCCGGCTGTCATGATTAGCTCGAGCCGGGACCGATCTCTAGTCAAAAGCAAGTGTCAGAAGGGCAGTAGTTTCCGTCATGACAGGTCAGATTAAACACTTACTAGGCATTCAGTACCAACCGTTTCGAAGCCCTAGAACCGTGTAGGAACTGGAAATCATCTCTGCCGGTCGATGAATTTGCCGTGTGAAACCAATCGCCACATGTCGGCCACCGTTCGGCAACGCGCCCCATCTCAGAGGGGCAACTGCACACTTCAGACATTTGTCGATGTCGAACACGGGTGATGTAATGACGGTGGCTGTGTACCAGTCTCATTCTTCCTATTGGAATCTTGACACCATGGGCTCATGCTTGCGAGAGTGGTTGAATTGTTGATGGCACCTGCGGTGACTCGTGATAATTTTTTTGTAGTGGGAGTTGTGTTGCTGACTGAGCACGCAACGCGTGCCGAGATACTTTCGTGCCGCTGTGTTTCTGCTGTTAGATCTAACCATGGTCGACAATTTGCGTCGAAGTTATTCCAGCGCTGCCTTAACGGGCGATGGTTTGCATCTCGTTTGTGCTCCGTACAAAACAAACTTGAGCCTCATGGAGATTGAGCCAATGTGGTGATGCGCCCTTTGACCAGTGCTGCGAAATCATGTGCTGGTCTTAAATTGGAATACAGTGGCGAAGTGCCAGTACTGTTCTGGTAAATCCTTGTCAGACGAAGGCCAATCTTCACGATCTGCGACGATGACATGGATATGTTGTGATCTCGACATTGGACATTGCGCTTGAATTGTGCTATGCTTTTCACCACTGGAATGAATTCGTTGCGCCTCTTAGGAGGCAGTATCGTGCAGTGCTGCGCGTGCATGACCGGTCGTACAGCTATATGCTAGTTGGGCATGACGGAACTGAATGGCCCTATACAAGCGACTTAGATCTCACTGCTGCAGTTCTAGCGGTGAGCGACATTCTCTAGAATATGTGTGAGAGATCTAGCACCCGAGTGCACCAAAATGACATGGTTGTTCTACGCAAGTGATACATGAAAGATTACGCCATAGAAAATTGGTTGCATGCGACCGAGAATTCTTTTCGATTTGACGATTCCAAAAACAGGAATGTCACATGTCGAGAGAAGTCCTCGAAGCGGCCAAGTTAAGCAGGAAAATGCTCGAACATGCATCCGTCGGTGCGCATGTAATGGCCTCACTCATGCATTCGCAGCTGGCATTGGCCATCAGTACTACAGGCGAGGTTCGGTGCGATACTGTCGCCCTGGTGGCTTGGCTTTGTTCATGGTATGAGATAACTCCTCTCCGCCCTGGGTTGGGTGAGAGGCGGAGGCCTTACAAAGGAAGCAAGCGACGCGGACGCGTGACGCGAATAGATCCGATACGGGCGAGCTCGCGAAAAGGGAGAGGCTCACTGACCGGGTACGCGCAGTCGCCCCGTTGTGCGTAAACGGGAGCGACCGGTAACGGGTTAGAAGCCAGCGCGCGGATAGACTTACGGAACGGTTGTATGTAGGCGCAAAAGGGACGGGAGCGAGCGTGCCCCCGTTTACTGGTAGGCACGGGTGTCAGGTCTTAACCCCTGAGAGGTACGCCTCGGACACCGGTCCCAGTACAGTAGTACAGTACCTGCCGCCTAGTGCGTCCCCGGTACTGTACACAATTAAAAAGCTAGCGCCATAATTACTACTACCGCACGGACGCTGCTACTACACGTGTGTACTACTGGACACGCGTGACGCTTACAGAGTACCGCACGGACGACACGTGTTCTAAGGCGCACACGTAACACGCGTAGACTACCGCACGGACGACATGTGTGCTACTGTACACGTGGGCCACGCCACGACCAGTCAGTTAACGCGTGCGCTCCCTACACGTGGGCACACCCGCCCACGTGTGCACCGTGCACGGCCGCACGGTTAATAACCTCCCCGCTCGCTCGTCCGTCGTTATACTACACATCGCTTGGCCACGTTGTGAGATTTGATGTGATGCTGATCATTGGCATCTAACGATGCGACGAAGGACCGAAAGTTGAACATTACAGGTCGAAGCCCCTACCAACTGCATGTTATGAACAAGCCGCGCTCCTTGCAAGTTAGTGGGGCTCTTGGATTGGGATACGAAAAATGTCCGCATTTCTTTCTGCAGCGACACAGCTAGATGTAGTATTCTGTCGATACGTGCGCGTAGTGTTGGAAACCAGACGATGTCACATCATCTGCTTTCAGCCCTTGGAATACGATGGCTATGGGTCACGCGGTGATGTGTGATCGTAGAGAAGATTTCCAGTCTTCAAGTGCCGAGGACATGTTTGCTCATCCAGCCACGGAACCAGAAGCGAAGCAGAGCCATGCAGAGCCAGATCTTTCAGACGTTGCCTGACTTGTAGCCTGTTTCAATTCGTCCGGTTGCAATAACTCCAATTTCCTGCTTCATCCAAATAGCTTCTTGTTAAAAGCTGCACATCAGAACAATAAACTTAGGACCTTTCGTCACTTGCATGCACACAATAATTATTGTAGCGCCTACCGGGTCCTGAGCTACCGCTCTTAATGGCGCCTAGGATAAGAGGTCTAGAGAGAGGAACTGAGAGGTAAAGCATACAGGGGGGAAGAACATGGTAAGGCAGAGAAAATATGCATACTTAGTTGGAGAAGAGGCACTGTGACCATGGTCACAGTGTCTCTTCTCCAGCTGCGTGCGACTGGGCCTCCGTTTATTGCGCGGGGCTTCTCCTCACCGCCGCTTATATTCGCTCGAGAGAGCTTGCGTGGAATGCAACTTGCGGTTCGAATCGGTCGCAAAACGAAATCGCGCCCTCTGGCTGATGAAACGAAGGGGTCTTCTTCGATATCGAAGACAGAGCTTGCCACGTCAGCACGTGCGCCAAGCCGAATGCGATAGGGATCACATCCCCTGATTGCGACTCTATCCCACGCGTACCCCGTGTACACGGAGTAAAGGTGTACAACAGCTGCTGGGCGTTACACGTCCTATCACTTGTATTCGATAAAGTGTGGTACCATTTGGTTATACAGTAGTTTCGCGATAAAAGGAAGGAGTTGGGAGAAGGGTTCCGGTTCCTTTTATCGCGGGGTTCCCGTTATAAAGGCTTATCGTACCGATGATTATCAACATTTGACTAAAATTTAATTGAAAACATATTAATGGTAGTCTGTTTCGCGCCCTGATCCGCCTCTAACCGGATGTGTAACCCATTTTTGTGGTCTAGAAAATGAATTGCGATGGCGAACGGTGTAAGAAAAAACAAAGGTACTTAGGAAAATCATGCGTCGGGACTGCAGTAGTGCGG